CAATGTTGTCGTCATCAACTTTATAATACCTCCAGAGTGCAGACATACTCACGCTTTCTGCTTCAAGGTGCTGCTACGTTCTACTACGTTCTATACATATATGTATATGTGTGTGCGTGTGTGTATATATATATATATATATATATATATATATATATATATATATATATATATATATATATATATATATATATATATATATATATATATATATATATATATATATATATATATATATATTAATCTGATGCATTTTACAGCAGTTTTATTCAGTAGATGTTTTCATCCCAAACATAACAAACAGGTGATATATTTTCCCAAGAGTGTGTCGTTCGGGCTTTTTTAAAAAAATTTTTTTTTTTTATCAAATTAGGCATTTTTAAAAAAATGCGTGTCAAAATAAGATTTGTGTCCCAAAATTATTCTGCTAGCTGAAACAGAAAAGGTTATGGTAACTGTTTATTTTGATGGTCCATTTGAGTATTAGTAGACTGTCTGCTTAATATCTGTTGATGCTGCTCATTCAACTAACATTAAACTGACTTGACAAGTACATGTCAACTTACACTAACCCCAACCCCAACCTAACAGTCTACTTATCTAATGAGAATTAATTGACATGTAGATGCAATGTAACAAACGGACCATCAAAATAAAGTGTGACCAAATTAAGACTCAAAATCACCTTAAAGTTTATGAAAACATCCCCAACAGCAGGCAAGGGTTAATACGTTATTCTTGAAAATACACATCCATTTTATTTTATCTATATATTTTACAGCGGTAAACACCGAATAACCGTAACGAATAACATAGTTTCGAGCTTTATATGTACATATATGAGATTTTTTTTAAGCTTAGCGTCGTTTGAAGCGGATAAATCAATCATATTGTTAAAAACTGCTTTGTTTATTACAGAGAGAACGCAAATGCATGTTTACAGAGTCGCTACAACACTCAGCCGGAAACTCATGAATATTCATATCTATGCTCCGCCCAGAAAATTTCACAACACCAGCACGTCAGTTATTATCCAGTAACATTTTAAAAGGACTGCCAGGAGGATTCATATAAATAAAGAGCAAAGCTTTAGTTAGTAAGTGAAGAAAGAAGCGTGTATATCAGAGCCAAGCAGGTATTAAACATCTCAACTGAAGAAAGAAGAAGAATATAGCAAGGGGGAGAGTGAAAGAAAACATGAAGAAACAAAGTCATGTTCTCCAGAATACAAGAATTGTGTAGAAGCTGAGAGAATAAGATGTGAAAGTAGGAGGAAAGATCGGGGGAATCCAGCAAATGTGTGAATCCGGAAACAGTGAAGCACATTCAAGCGCATGTTTGTCCAATGGGATTTAATGTAGAGGCGGGATTTCCGTTATGGTGCCGGAAGTTTACAAGTGCTCGGGACATTCGGAGATTGCAGCAGTGATGGAGGAGGTTATTGTAGTGGATAAGCGGAGATTTTCTGCTTATATGACAGTTTATAAAGCCAAGAGCGTTCAAGTTGTGAGTCTTGATTAGATTGAAAGAATAGACGATTTAATGGTTGGTAGAACTGAAAGGAGACCTTATTGAGTGTGATCCACACGAAAGAGATAGACTGTAGGAATTAGGGTAGATAGGATTGGATGAAGTATCGCTTGAGGACGGGGAAAATGCAAGCAAGGAAGAGAGAAAGAATGCTGAAACAGCTTTCAGAAATAAAGACTGGAAACATGGACAGAAACTCATCTGAATCTTTGCGGACTCCACGCTCCAGATCAGTGGGTGGCGGTAATTACCTGTGGTTTGCTGCTACACCGCTACAAAAAACACAAGAAGAAGAACAGCATAAACACGAAGGCACTTGACCCGATAAACAGCAAACAGTAACAGCACGCAGATCTTTTAAAGATGCTAATGAGGTCGTAGTCGGTAAGGCAAACGCATTGGTCATAATAATATTGTTAGCTAACAAAACCGTAGCATTATTATAACCCTGCTGCGACATATCTAGCGCAATAGAAATGAAAACATTAGCCACATATTGCTGCAAACCACACAGCTGCCAACTCACGAACCTCACCAATGTACAACCCGTTAAAATACACGAGTGAAAGAGTCCACTGATGATTTTTAAGCCAGTAATGGCTCTCGTGTGACTCGAAGGCACAGCGTCTGCCATTCTGTAAAGCTGCATATACTTTCTGCACACTTCTGTTTTGGTTTTACCGTATTTACAGGAGTAATCCTTTAGCTATTAGCAAGATAAATTAATATTGAAGTAACGCAGTTACAGTTAGCCCTTATCCAAAATCTAGGCACTTTTCAAACCTTGAAAACATTACATTAAAATGCAAGCATTTTCAAGCATTTACAAGCTCTGCTTTTATACTTTCACTAGCAAAAAAGCTAAGTTTTCAATAGTTTTTTTCCTCAGTGCTAGCATCTATTCAACAATATAAATCAGTGCAAATATTTAAAGCTTTTTAGAGCAGCATATGAGAATGATTTCAATCACTTAATGTTGTATTTAAAATAAAAATACTTACAATTCTGCTTTAAAATCACATGAATGAATCTACCGCATGTATTAAATCACAAGTCATACTCACAAATGTGCCTTTTCCCTAGTGAGGAGACGATCACCACAGTGGTGAAGAACACGCGCATGAAGAGACATGCATCTCCACGACCATCACCGATGGGAGCTTTCCGTTCAGAGACGCCCACACCTGAACCACCCAGACAGAGACGAACCATGGCCAGGAAAACCGTACCAACACTCTACGTCCCGGAGGCAGAAGGAGCCACCGCTAGAAACCCCAGATGGGTGGAGGTCGAGGAAATCATCGAGTATAAAGTCAACAAATCACCCAAGCTACCAAGAAGAAGGGGCATTTCTCCTGGCAAGCGGTCATCGCCTGCCAACCCAAACACTAATAACTCCAACAACAAGTTGGTAGAGGCTACATTAGGGGCTGTAATGACTCTTCAAGCCTCGTCAGATGATGAAGACACTGAGCAAAATGTTGCTGAAGTGATGGAGAGCATAATTGGCGAAACCAGTGACCCTGATGGAGACGACAAAGGAACCATTATCTTGGAATCTGAAGATGATGAATTCGGCAATCGAGATTTTAAAATGCTGAGCGATGGGAATAAAGTCCTCACTCTTGAAGATCTGGAAGATTATATTCCTCAGGAAGGTGAAACATTTGGCAGTCATCCCAACCGGCAGATCCCTGAGGAGAAGCCAAGCCAGATCTCGGTGTTGCAGAGGGAGGTTAATGAAACGGTGATTGGAAAACCTATTTTATTGAACGTCGGACGTCCGGTGGCACCTCCAAAACCTCGCACGGGCTTCTTCGGCTCTTTCAAGGAACACATTTCCAGCATGTTTACTCCGGGTTCGTTGGCCAACACGGGCTCCCGGTCAAGACAAGAGAAGAATATCCCTATTCATGTGATGGGAGGATCTTCATCCGGCTTCGCACATCATGCCAGCAGCGCTGCGAGGTTTGAAGTCCAGCCGACGTACTGCTCCGAGGTCCAGAGAGGAAAAGGAGGAGGTCTGCAGAGCTTCAAAACGCAAGTTTCTGCACAAACCCACAGCTACACACCAGCCGGACAGCTCACTCTTCAGATCGACAAGAACAAGCCAACTGGAAAGCAGTAACGAGGAAACCGCTCAGGACCGCTCCTCGCGTTTATCATCAGGACATTCGGTAGACCTAGTCTTAAAATGGGAACATTTCTGTCAAATCAGAGAGAGAGTTTTATTCAATAGCAAGGCTTCTGCTAACAGCAGATCATTCCATGTTGTTGAGGCGACGCTTTACATTGAATGCCTTTAAATCTGACCTAATGAAGACTTTTTAAGACGTCCAGTTAGCATGGAATCACGCAGCTGAGAATGCCAAATCTGATACAACATCAATGAGCAAATACAGAAAGTCTGAAGAAAGCCAAATCCAACTGCTTTGGACTTTAATAAGATTGTGGTTATTATGAGGTCCTTTTACACCTGGTGGTCAAGATGGATTTTGGTCAATCTGATCACAAGCGTATGATGCTAAACTCAGTTTTATATAGTGTCCAGAAGGTTTGAGTTTGTCCACTATTAAACATTTTGAGCAGCAGTCAATAACATGATTGGTTACATAGTGTAGAGACTCGTAGTGGATCGTGTTCAAATAAGACAACCAACTGTCAGTCTAATAATCTGATTTTCAACATTACAGGATATGTTGTTGAATTGCTGTAAGATATTGTAAGTTTGGGTTGCAGGTAGGAATGGGCCGGTATAAGATTCTGACGGTACGATAATTTTGGATAAAAATATCACGGTTTCACGGTATTGTGATTACTGCTCTGAAATACATTCTTTTAAACAACTTTTTTCCCTTTTAAAGACGAAATATTTTAATTAGAGAAACAATTTAAATATGTTGGAGCAGTAAACATGTCAGGCTGAATAATTCAGATGAATTATTGACTTCTGCTGTCTTTATTAGTTTCAAAAACAGATTTCTTGACCATTTAAAACGGCATCTTTGGATATCTCTTCTGCTGGAGATACTGCTGTCCTTAAAAACTTAAATAAAAAACCTTACATTTACTTTAGGAATGTTATTACAGAAAAGTTTTGCGGTTTTAAAACCTTGATTTTTCCAAACCACGGTTTAACTTGAAAATCATCCCATGCCTAGTTGCAGGTATTCAGTAAAAAAAAAAACAATTATCTAATTTGTACATTTCAGTATGATCTGCTCATCCCCTGATGACTGTGGGCTTTAGAGGTATGCCTCCTTTTAAAGAAAAATACAAATACAAAAATTCAAATTTTTGTTACACACATTTCCCATTGAGATCAGGCTGAAGTAAATGGAAATGTGTCTCCTTCATCTACTTATGATCCAATTGACCAAAACGCATCATAACACCAGGTGTGAACTAGACTTTGGATTGAATGTACCTCAGTAATGCACGCACATATAACAGGTGAGTGTTTTTTCAATATAAAGCCAAATCAACATTTATTTTTTGCATGAGTTGAATCTGAGGTCTGTTTACGTATCAGAAATCGTGCACTGAGGTTTCCTCAACGTGCTCAGCATTTTACAGTGAACGTATACGGTTTTGCAGACCGACAGAAGAATAGCTGTGGGAGATTTTAAGACTTAAGAAGCATAACACAAAATCTATTTAATGACTTTAGAAGATTTATTTTAAAAAGTATTTTTGTGCAACATGACTTTTAAGCACAGTATTTACAGATTTTAAAAAGTTTTGCGATTTACTGGAGTAATACTAATATATATATATATTAAATGTGTTTGAACTACAAATACAAATTTTGCATCAACCAAAATTTGCATGTGTAACATAATTCGTATTGTTTTGGTGGATCACATGGTTTGGTAAAAAGCAAAATAAATTAGAACTGCCAAGGGTGTTCAGTTGCTAAAAGACAAAAAAAATAATAATGGAATAAATATAAATAAAAATGTACGTCTTGAAGATTTGCTGCATTACAAAATAAGCGTATATTTGGATGTGTGTATTAGAAAGCAGACTTTCAACTGAAATCAAGACATGATGATTAAAAAAAAATGGTGAAAATCGTTGGACACGCACAGTAGCTTTCAATATTGCACTCTCATTTATTCATTTCACTCTAGACATGCTTATCTATGTGTGTAAGTACACATCTTCACTGTATACATACAGAGTATGCATACACCAACACACACATAATTAAACATGTAGAATTGTACATATATATTTATATAGACTTATAAATTTACATGTACGTACATTTATAAAAGAGTGCACACAATGCACCCTTGCATACACACACACACACACACACCCCCTCGCTCTCACACACACACACACAAACACATACAAATGTCATGCGTCTGTGGCTCAATGTTTGTCTCCTGCACGCACTCACAGACACAAAATGTATGTATATATATATCTATATATCTCAGACATACTTCATATCCCAAAAAAATGGTTCCTTTGAAAACAACACCAGGTTGCGATTTTGGACACTTTGAATTTTGTTTTCTGTTTTTAAAGCTGAGAAAATTCATAAACGAAACAGAAAACAAAACAAACAAACGAGGAGAAAGGCATGGTGCTGTTTCGTCCAATCATAACCGCAGGTAAGGGGCTCAATTTTTGCATAATGTATACAGGTTAAGAGTTTTCTTTCCTATATTTATTTTGGAATAAAGAACTTTTCTTAATAGAAACAAAGCAACAAAAACAACCCGAAAAATAAAATAAAAATGAGGGAGAAACTAAACTACAGAGCAGGTCCCCATCCACAGTCTCTTCTGCCGACAGGGGTGACATCAAGCTGTACAGCGCAGTCAAAAACATATGTATCAGCTTCATTTACAGGTACAGCCATAATCAAGGCACAAAGATCTACAAGTAGATTTTTTACTCTCTTTCGATAAAGTTGTACAAAATAATAGAACATTTTAGAATCTGTACAGAAAAAACACCCTTGCACAGTCTGTACAAGTTTAGAAAGTAAAATAAGAAATGGGGGCGTTTCTTTTGCGCAACCATGACCAATCCGAGGCTTCGGCAATGTTCCCAAAGCCCCTCCTCATTCTAAAACCCCGCCTCCTCACAAAAAAGGGCGCGGATCCTCTTTACCTGTGTCAGGCTTGAAGTGGGACAGAAATTCATGATGTGATGCTACATTGTGTGTCCATCTTCATAACGAAAAAAAAAAACAACGTCAAAACCTGATGGAAAAAAAGTGCATTACTTTACTTCGTTTTCCCAGTGTTGGACAATCCCCCCGCTCGACCACCCCGTCTCCAGCTCTGTCCGCGGGCGATCTTCAGTGTTCGGGAACAGAAGGAGCAGCAGAGAGCCCTGTTGGTCAGAAGATGAAGGTTCGGGGTGCGAGGCTAGGACTCCTGGAGGTCAAAAAGTGATGTGATCATCAAATTAAAAAGTAAGGAGGTAGCCGAAGGCTTGGTGGAATGGCAAAAACAAAGGCAATCCAAATAAAAGCATGGACAACAGAACACAAAACAGCGGCTCTCTCCATCCTCCGTCCCCTCCAACTGAAGAATGAGTTAAAATCAAAGAAGTTAAAAGTGAAGGGTGGTGTGCCAAACGTCAGTAGTATTGGTTGGTCTGCGGTTTTGGCCTGATGGGTGGGTGAGTGAGTGAGATCACAAGAGTTCATACTGCCGCAGGTGCATTCTCTGGATGATGTCTCTGCAGTCGTTGAACACCCGCCGGATGTTTTCTGTGTCCACTGCACATGTGAAATGGGGGTAACAGTAGTGACGGCCGTCTCCGCTTTCTGTACTTATTTTCTGTGGTGAGAGAAGGTGACAGGAAGAAAGCAAACATTAGATCTAATATTTCATATACAGTGTTGTTCAAAATAATAGCAGTACAACATGACTAACCAGGGGTGCGTTTCGCAAAAAAACAACCTAACTCGTGGCTGAACTATCATAGTACAATGCATGGTTTGGGAAAAGAACAATGTAGTGACGAGTGTTTCCCAAAACGCATAGTTTCTCTGTCGCAGATCCATCGCTTGAACCATGTTGGTTATAATGTAAAACGCCCATAATGATGCTCTAAACTGGGTGGAGTAGCTACTTCTTTAGGGAAAACACCATAATTTCTTTGTGCAAACTACATTGTTTTACATGCACATGCATTTAAAATAGAATCCAATATTAGATTTGGTAAAAACATGCACTCGCTTTCCATATTGATGAAATATATGTAAATGGCTCATATAGGGCTTATGTTTGCTTTACTAATATTATTAAGAAAGTTGAACATTACATATTACATTCTAAAACATGAAATCACTGACAAAAGCTAACAATATTCTAATATCATGTAAATCATATAAATAAATAATGAGGCTATTATAAAATGAAATGTAATATTTATTATTTATTAGAAATGAAAAAAAATCACTTAAATAATAATATTAATGATGATGATTATTATTATGAAGTAGGACATTATTTTGTTTTTCAGTACAGTACAGATACTTAATAAATAACCCACAATAAATTAAAATAATTAATGTATGCTTTTTGTTTTCAGAAGCTTTGGAGAGGAGACGTAACCTAAATTCCGCTTTTAAATAATAGGTCATCTATAGCTTTCGCCATGAGGCTGTGTTCAAAATGACATCAATGCTTTCAAAGTGCAATGCGAAGGGAGCACAATTGTAAACTTAAAGATCGCTAAAACTGAACTGTTAAAATAGTTTGAAAGCAAATTACAGCTAAGAGAGATGACTTTAATGCTTTTTATTTTTAATAATTCCAACTTTGAATGTTAAAATGTTCTAAATGAATAGGGCATAGGGGGGATAATTGGGAATGAAACACAGCCAGGAACTGTTCCTAACTGTTTCTTGAGCCAGTGCTCAAGTTTGCGACGCAGTTTGCGAATATTTGTCGGACTAACGGATTTGGGAAACGGCAAATCAACAAACTATGTTTGTAACGATGGAACTTCCCACCTTAGTTGGCTAACGATGGTTTTGGGAAACGCACTCCTGAACAGTGCAGTTTGTTTTAGCATTTTTTCTTATTGTAATGTAATGGCTGTATTTATATAGCGCATTTATCGTGTATGGCCATACACCCAAAGCGCTTCACAATCATGAGTGGGGTCTCTCCACACCACCACTAGTGTGCAGCTCCACTTTGATGATGCGACAGCAGTCACAGGACAACAGCGCCAGTGCGCTCACCACACACACCAGCTATTGGTGGAGTGGAGAGACAATGATAAAGCCAATTTGGTGGATGGGGATGATTGGGATGCCATAATGGGTAAGGGCAGTAGGACGCATAAAAGTCCCAATATACAAACCTTTTGTTTGTTTGTTTGGTGATATTTTTGCAATAATATCATATATTGTTTATAAATATGATTTAAATTTCATTTATAATGATTACATATTATATTCAGTAAATATCATAAATTAAAAGTTCGATATAAAAATGCAAACTATATTTGTATCCAAAAATATTGATGAACAATAATTCTGAAAATGTTCAAATCTATATGTTCGTTCTCTAAATAGACACAAGGTGGCGCCAATTATTGGTTCAAAGTTGATTAAAGGGATAGTTCACACAAAAATAAAACATCCTCATCATTTACTCACACTCAAGTAGTTCTAGACTTTGATGAACTCTTTCTTCTGTTGAACACAAAGGAAGATACTCTAAAGAGTTTTGACATCCATATTAGGCACAAACAATACTATCAAAATCGATGACTGCAGCTTTCCAACATTCTTCAGAGTATCTTCCTTTATGTTCAACAGAAGAGAGAAACCGCTTTGGAAGAAGGGTGAGTAAATAAATGAGTGAACTATCCCTTTAAGTTGAAAGAGTAACTATTAATAAACATGTAAAACTGTTAAAAAAATATAGTTTTCTTCATTTAATATCAAAAATAAAAAGCAAATCATAAAACATGTAGCAGACTAAGATTGGACTTCAATAACTGCTATTTAATATACAAAATGAGCAGAATCACTAACCAGAAACTCGTCACGAATGAAAAACTTGGCTCTTGTCACTCTGGGGTCTTCACCAGGATCTGGAGTTACTGAATCAGAAATCATTCAACAGATTAACTTTGATAATGACCCGCACACTGAATCAATTTACAATCAGATAGTTCAATCATTCAGATCACTGTAAAGCAGAATGATTGGGTGTTGTCATCTCCATTGATCATTCAGATAGAAGTGCAGAAGTCTTACTGTTGGACACATCTTCTCCATTTCGCTTTTTTCTCTTCCATACACATTTCCTTTTCTTTACTAATGTGATGGTAGCCAACACCAATGTGCACAAAATAAATAAATAAAATATTCAAACAAACAAATAGCAAAATGTAACAATAGCAGTTATACACATCAACCTTTTACATCCATGTAAGAAAGAAGCGAGCACACTTTTTAAGGACAGATGTTTCATTTTCCAAAATTGAGAGGTGAAAAGTGTGAAGTCACAATTGCAAAATGGAACATCAGAGAATTGCAAATACAGTGCATGCGGAAAGTGTTGATAGTGCTTCACTCCTTCCACATTTGTTTATGTTACAGCCTTAGTCCAAAATGGATTAAATTAATGAATTTCCTCAAAATTCTACACACAATACCTCATAATGACAATGTGAAAAATGAGTTTTTTTTAATTGTTGCATATTTACTAAAAATAAAAAACGTGAAAATTCTCAGTACAGAAGTATATACAGCCTTTGCTCAATACTTTGTTGATGCTCCTTTGGCAGCGATTACAGCCTTAAGTCTTCTTGAATATGATGCCACAAGCTTGGCACACCTGTCTTTGGGAATTTTTGCCCATTCCTCTTTGCAGTACCTCTCGATCTCTATCAGATTGGATGGGAATCAGCGATGTACAGCCATTTTCAGATCTCTTCAAAGAGGTTTAATAGGATTTAGGTCTGGGCTGTGGCTGGGCCACTCAAAGACATTACGCGAGTTGCTGTGAAGCCACTCCATTGATATGTTGGTGACTTTGGGTCATTGTCCTGCTGGAAGATGAACCGTTGCCCCAGTCTAAGGTCAAGAGCACTCTGGTTTTTATTCAGGATGTCTCTGTACATTGCTGCATTCATCTTTCCCTCTATCCTGACTAGTCTTTCAGTTCCTGCTGCTGAAAAACCTCCCCACAGCATGATGCTGCCACCACCATGCTTCACTGTAGGGATGATATTAGCCTGGTGATGAGCGCTGCCTGGTTTTCTCCAAACGTAACGCCTGGCATTCACTCCAATAAGTTCAATTTTAGTCTCATCAGACTTGAGAATTTTGTTTCTTATGGTCTGAGAGTCCTTCAGGTGCCTTTTGGCAAATTCCAGGCTGCCAGTGGCTTCCGTCTGGCCGCTCTACCATACAGGCCTGATTGGTGGATTGCTGCACAGATGGTTGTCCTTCTGTAAGTTTCTCCTCTCTCCACAGAAAAACGCTTGAGCTTAGACAGAGTGACCATCGGGTTATTGATCACCTCCCTGACTAAGGTCCTTCTCCCCCGATCACTCAGCTTAGATGGCCGGCCAGCTCAAGAAAGAGTCTTGGTGGTTCCAAACATCTTCTACTTACAGATGATGGAGGCCGCTGTGCTCACTGGAAATGTTTCTGTAACCTTCCCCAGCCTTGCACCTCGAGACAATCCTATCTCGGAGGTCTACAGACAATTCCTTTGTCTTCATGTTTGGTTTGTGCTGTCATGTCATGCACTGTCAACCCTGGGACCTTATATAAACAGGTGTAAGCCTTTTCATGTCCAATCAACTAAATTGACCACAGGTGAATTCTAATTAAGCTGCTGAAACATCTCAAGAATCATCAGGGGAAACAATGTACCTGAGCTCAATTTAGAGCAGGGGTCACCAATCTCGGTCCTGGAGGGCCGGTGTCCCTGCAGGGTTTAGCTCCAACTTGCCTCAACACACTTGCCTGAATGTTTCAAGTATACCAAGTAAGACCTTGATTAGCTTGTTCAGGTGTGTTTGATTAGGGTTAGAGCAAAAATGTGCAGGACACCGGCCCTCCAGGAACAAGTTTGGTGACCACTGATTTAGAGCTTCACAGCAAAGGCTGTAAATACTGACGTACATGTGATTTTCAGTTTTTTTTTTTTTTTTCAATAAATTTGCAACAAGTTCAAAGAATGTTTTTTTCACATTGTCATTATGGGGTATTGTGTGTAGAATGTTGAAGAAATAAATGAATTTAATCAATTTTGGAACATAACATAGAAAAATGTGGAAAAAGTGAAGTGCTATGAATACTTTCCGGATGCACTGTAGAATTCTGAATTCTGAGATACAAAGTAAGAAGATTTAAAGTCAGAGAATCATAAGATAAAAAGACCGAATTATGAGATATAAAATAAAAATGGCAAGATGCAAAGTCAGAATTGCAGGATGTAAAGTCAGAGAATTGTGAGATAACCTAAAAATATAAAGTAAAAACTGTGAGAATTGTGAGGTGAAAAGGCAAAATCATGAGATAAAAGATAATCATGAGATATAAAATGAGAACTGTGATATGTAAAGTCAAAATAGTGAGATGAAAATCCTGCCATTAATTAGTCGCCCTTGTGTCTTTCCAAAAACCCTGAGAACTTCATTCGTCTTCAGAACACAAATCAAGATATTTTAGATGAAATCCGAGAGCTCTCTGATCCTTTATAGAGAGCACGGGTCACATCTCGTTCAGTCCAGAACGGTACAAAAAAGCATCATTAAAACCTTTAACAGCCAGGTTTCATCCTAACGTTAATTTCCGTCCTAATATTTAAATTACGTTAAATGAAATACACCATGCCACATCTTTTAGAATTGCTAATATTGCTTTGTATAAAAGGAAAACATTTCCCAGTAATGGCATCCACTGTGTATAACAAATGCTGGAATAATTGGCGGTTCAGTCCACTTTGGCGACCAATAATAAATAAGGGACTAAGCTAAAGGAAAATTAACGTTTTTTTTAATTATATTGTGAAATGTCTCATACTCCCAAATATGTGATAGAACATATAATTTGTCTTTTAAACAGTTTAATGATGATAGTATTATTTGTTATGTGACGGGTAATGGGCGCCGCTGTAGAAGGTAGAAGCTGCGATCTCAAGTTAACGAGAAGTATTTATATTATTTATTAACTAAATGCATTGATTATATTTTTTAGCATAATTATTAGCGTTTATTAGTGTCTACCCCTACCACAACCCTCAAGTTAGTGTAAAAATATTATTTGTTGTACAGCGTCACAGAAATTATGCTACTGTATATTGATGTAATTATTCTCAGCCGTATCCCATCTACCTTAATGCGTATGCGCACTCGAAAGGAACGAAGTCACAACACCGACTTCATTTTAGCAGTGTTATCAGGGGCCTAGAGCAGTGGTCCTCAATCATACCATTTTCCATAATTAAGCTTGTATCAGAGTTACAGCAATGTTCTGTCAGCGTCTGCGGTGATAATATTGTTGAGGACCACTGACCCAGAGTGTTATCATTCTCCGAATAATGCTTCGTCAGATCGCCCTGCTCTTCTGAAGTAATCCACAACTTGGTCTTGATGGTGAATCTGCTCCAGAAATGAGCGACTCTTTGTTTACAAGTTTGTAGGCGTTTGAGTAGTTGCTGTCTTGTGATGTCCATTTGACAGGATGGGCTCGCATTCGTTTCATACAAATTAAAAAAACAGAAATACTTTTGTTTTTAAGTGTTGTTGGTTCATTTAAAAATAGAGATTTTAAGCTTCATGTGGATATATTTTTTATGTCTGTAAAGCAAGTATTCGCTGAGATTCGAGTGCGTTTGTTGATTACATAAACTGTCTTAAAAACACACGTCTAGTCTGAGCTTCTCCCCTCTCAGTCTATAGCAGGGGTGTCCAAACTCTGTCCTGGAGGGCCAGCGTCCTGCAGATTTTAGCTCCAACTTGCTTCAACACACCTGCAAGGGTGTTTCTAGAAAGCCTAGTAAGAGCTTGATTAGCTAGCCCAGGTGTATCTGATTGGGTTGGAACTAAACTTTGCAGGACACCGGCCCTCCAGGACCGAGTCTGGACATGCCTGATCTATAGTGATCAATGATTGGCTCCTGTACTAGTAGGTGGGACTCCATTCCCCATATTAACCATATTGACATGTCTTGTGTATTCTATAGACTTAGTTTAGAGTTTCTTCTGTGAATGTTTTTCCATTGCATTTATTTTAGGGATGTCCAGATCCAATCACAGGAATCGGCCTGTTTCAGACTCGATCGGAATCGGACGTTACCTCTTGATCAGGACTCGCATATATATTTGAAGTCAGAATTATTAGCCCCCCTTTGATGTTATTTCTCTTTTTTAAATGTTTCCCAAATGATGTTTAACAGAGCAAGGACATTTTCACAGTATGTCTGATAATATTTTGTCTTCTGGAGAAATTCTTATTTGTTTTATTTCAGATAGAATAAAAGTAGTTTTTAATTTATCAAAAGCCATTTTAAGGTCAAATTTATTAGCCCCTTTAAGCTATATATTTTTCGATTATTTACAGAACAAACCATTGTTATACAATAACCTGTCTAATTACCCTAACCTGCCTAGTAAACCTAATTAACCTAGTTAAGCCTTTAAATGTCACTTTAAGCTGTATAGAAGTGTCTTGAAAAATATCTAGTCAAATATTATTTACTGTCATTGTACTGTCCTCCAACTGGCGTTCTTAACCAAAATTAGACAGCCAGCCAAACTCCTGTCATAAATTACACGAGAGTCAGGATATAGCCTTCTAGCTCCGTTTAAAAGAGACTCTTGTCAAATGTAGTCATGAACAAGGGAGTGAAACTGAAAATAGATACAAAAAATACATTTAGGTGAAACTGTAGCTTGTACATGGTTTAAGTCAAAGATAAAGTAAATGAGTTATTAGAAACGAGTTATTAAAACTGTGATATTTAGAAATGTGTTGAAAAAAAAGTCTTCTCTCCGTTAAACAGAAATTTGGGGAAAAAATAAACAGGGGGGCTAATAATTCTGACTTCAATTGCATATATATATATATATATATATATATATATATATATATATATATATATATATATACACACACGCACACACATATACATATATGTATAGAACGTAGTAGAACGTAGCAGCACCTTGAAGCAGAAAGCGTGAGTATGTCTGCACTCTGGAGGTATTATAAAGTTGATGACGACAACATTGCCATAGCAAACTGTAAGATACATAATCGATCACAAGAGGAGGAAAGAAAAAGGCTTCGTTTAACAAACATATTAGAGTTGTTGACGCTAATGTTTGATGTTAAAATAAGGTGAATTAAATAAGACATAAGGAACATCCTGGATCTGTTTATTCGCTCTTCTTTATTCTTTTTTTTTTTAAAGTATTATATAAGTATCGGTAGATACTCAAAATTAAATGACTCAGACTAGAGAGGAAAAAAACCTGATCTGGACATCCCTAATGTATTTTGAGCAGAGGTCAACATTTTTGAGTCCAAAACCACCTCAAGCAGGCGTAAAAACATTTTGGCAATTAAAAAATTTTAATTTGAAAATTTGTGTTCAACACTAGTTTCTCTGACACACTTTCGTGTGCACAAAGTATTCTTCATGTCAATGATTTAAAATGATCTCAATAAAATGTAACTGGTGTTCTGAAGATAAACTTATGTCTCAGTGCTTTGGAATGACATGAGGGTGATTAATATGTTCATTTTTGGGTGAACAAACCCTTTACAGTCATTAAAAAAACAAAGATGTATGAAGTCTAACCTTTATCTGGTAAGGTGTAATACGCAAAATCAGGGAAATAATCTTCAATTTTGGATTTCCCAGCTAATACTTTCTCCGCCAGCATGTCCTGCTTGTTCAGAAACAATATGACAGAAATTGTCCGTAACCATCTGCAGAAAGAAGAGAAGAAAACAGAAGACGGGTCAAACGGAAGCTATAAACAACTTTTGTGTTTATTCAAAAATAAAACGAAGGGATTACCTGTTGTTCCAGATACTGCGAAAAAGAGCAAGTGCTTCCCGTAGCCTGTTTGTGTTGTTGTCTTCCCTTATGACCATGTTATAGCTGCTGCTCGCTACCACAAAGATGATCGCTGTGACGTCTGCAGAGAAACACAGCAGATTAGCACAGCATGCAAGACATCATCCTCGTTTTGCTTTAAGGGTTTACTTCTATCCACAGGTCAAACACCCATTATTGGTTTTCAAAATATCCACTGCAGCATCAGCTCAGATTGGTCAAATGGTTCCTCTCTGCTCTGATAGCTCAAGTTGCTCTTCTCGGCTTAGATGGCTCTACTCTTCTCTGATTGTTCAGATGGCTCTACTCATCTTTGATTGGTCAGATGGCTCTACTCTGACTAGTCAGAAGGCTCTACTCTTCTCTGACTAGGCCAGGGGTGTCAAACTCAATTCCTGGAGGGCCGAAGCCATGCACAGTTTAGTTCCAACCCTGCTCCAACACACCTACCTGTAGGTTTCAAAGTCTGAAGGACTCAATTAGTTTGATCAGGTGTGTTTAATTAGGGTTGGAACTAAACTGTGCAGAGCTGCGGCCCTTTTGGAACAGAGTTTGACACCTGTGGACTAGGCGGATGGCTCTTCTCTGTGCTCTGATTGGTCAGATGGTTATACCCTGATTGATCAGATAGCTCTACTCATCTCCAAACGGTCAGTTGACTCTTCTCTTCTCTGGTCAAATGACTCTACTCAGCTCCCATTGGCCTACTCTGCTCTGATTGGTCAGTTGGCTCTACTCTGCTCCAATTGGTCAGATAGGACTACTCAATTCCCATTGGTCTGCTCTCCTCTGATTGGTCAGATAGCTCTACTCTCATTGGTCTACTCTCCTCTGATTGGTCAGATAGCTCTACTCCCATTGGTCTATTCTCCTCTGATTGGTCAGATAGCTCTACTCCTGTAGGTCTTTTCTCCTCTAATTGGTCAGATAGCTCTACTCTCATTGGACTGCTCTCCTCTGATTGGTCAGATAGCTCTACTCTCATTGGTCTATTCTCCTCTGATTGGTCAGATTGCTCTTCTCCCATTGGTCTACTCTCCTCTGATTGGTCAGATAGCTCTTCTCCCATAGGTCTTTTCTCCTCTAATTGGTCAGATAGCTCTACTTTGCTCCCATTGGTCTATTCTCCTCTGATTAGTCAGATAGCTCTACTTTGCTCCCATTGGTCTACTCTCCTCTGATTAGTCAGATAGCTCTTATCCCATTGGTCTATCTC